CAAGGAGCAAAATATCTAGTGACTATGACAGAAGAAAGAGAACTCAGAGAAATGCATGTCTGGCTGGCCTCATGCTTAACTTTATTGTTAAGCAAGAGTACTCCTATTTCTAGAAATTCAGTCAGCAAATTTGTAGTTTGTCTTGCAAACCTCCTGTAAGGCTGAGATTTGCTCCAGCCCTAGAGGAGACTCAAATATAGGGGTCCTGCTGGTTACAGCTTTGTTTCATACTCATCATCTACAGTGAATCCAACTTAAAATGTCATGAATACAAAAATTATGTGAGTATACAGATATAAGGACCATCATGAAGAGGGTGTGACCTGGGGCTGTGGCAAAATCTGGTCTCTAGTCTCCCCCCTTCCATTCTCTTCTCCATTTATTGTTATGCACTTAATTTTTTAAAAAATATGCTTCCCCCCCATATTTTCACTCTTCCTATTAGAATTACTTTTTTTTGGTCAAAAATTACCTGTTTAATATTTCAAATGTATGGGCATACAGTTGTTCGTGCTGTACTCTTATGCTTTCTAACATTTTTACTCTCTCTGGTGTGCCCTCTTTGCCATTGATAATGTTGTTTATTTGTGTCGTTTTCTCAATCTTGTAAGAAGTTTATCTATTTTATTATTCTATAGCAGAATACCAGCTCTCGGTTTCTATAATCAACTTCATTTTCTTTTTTCTGTTTTACTCATTTCTCCTTTTTCATTATTATTTCCTTACTTCTGCTTTCTCTGGGTTTATTTAGTTGTTATTTTTCTACCTCTTAAATTGGATTAGCTCCTATACATTTTTTTTGTTTCAGTTTTTAGTTTTAGTTGGATCCCCCAAGTTTTATTATGCCAGGCTTTGTCATTCATTTGTAAATATTTTGTAAAGCCCATGTTGGTTTTATTTTTTATCTGTATTTTTCAGTTTCCAAATGTACGTTCTTTATATTTTAAAAATGTATGACAAAATCTTTCAACATCCAAAAAGGAATACAATTAATATAATTGTAGGGTTATGTTCACTTTCCCTGCAATAATGAACACCTGTGTACACACTCCTGCACTCATCACCCAGCTTAAGAAACAAAACTCAAATGTATGCTTATAATGTTTAATTTTATTTTTCGTAAGTAATAGATGCACATCACACACACAAAAGTTCATCCTGACTTCCTGGCCCCTTCCTCAGAAACAGCTGCAGTTACTAATTGAAGGTGGATTCTATGTAATGTATGGGTTTCCTTTAGACTCTCTTTTTGTTGTTGATCTTTAATTTTACTGTATTGTGGTTTGTGAGCTTGGCGTATAGATTCTTTGAAATTTATTGAAGCTTCCTTTGCGGCCCAGTACAAAGTCAATTTCTGTAAATGTTCTAAGCATGTCTGAAAAGGATAGATATATCGAAGTTTTTTCTGAAATACAAACCTGATTTCATCACTCCCTCTCTGATAGCTTCTATGGTCTTCAGGCAAAAGACGAACCCCCTTAGCGTATTATTTGACCCCTAGCTTCCCATCTAGCCAAGGCCTCGGACACTTCCCTTATGTACAAGAAATTTATGTACATGTAGCTCTCAGACATTTTAGGGTCAACTTTCAGAAGAACAATCGAACTGTCAGAGTTGTCCAGGAGCAGATAGTCCAATGTCTGGCACATCATAGGTTCTAATAAACACTCACCGAACCCACTTGTATTAGTCCATTTCTGTTGCTTATAACAAAATACTCAGAACTGGGTGATTTATAAAGAAAACAAAATTTACTGCTTACAGTTACAAAGACTGGGAAGTCCAAAGTCCAGGGAACAAACACATTTGGTGAAGGCCTTGGTGGTGGCAACAGCGATAGCAGGGTGTCACATTACAAAATGGCAGAGCAGAGAAAGCAGATAGTTCCTCACTTACTCCCCTTTTAAAGCCCTGAGAGCCATGCCCCTGACCACCATTATTAATCCATTCACTAAATCATAGTCCTACAATCGAATCACCTCTTCAAGACCCCACCTTTCAATTACCATAATAGGATCTCCCACCCTCAATAGTTACAGTGGGGATTTAAGGTTCAGTGAGGTTGGTGGGGCATCCAATCTACAGCACTCTGCCCCTGACCCCCTAAAACATGTCCTTTTCACATACAAATACATTCATTTAGTCACCAAACTTTTAACTTGTTTCAACTCAAAAGTCTGAAGTTGTTCAAATTCCCATCTGTGAAATCTAAAACAAGTTATCTACTTCCAAGATACAATGGTGGGACAAGCACAGGGTACATATTCCCATTCAAAAAGGGAGAAGTAGGCCAAAAGAAAGGGGTAACAGGTCTCAAACAAGTCCAAAACCCAGCAGGGCAGGCATTAATTCTCAAAGCTGGCATATCATGTATCTTGATGCTATGTTTGACATCCTCTGCACACTGGTGTGGGAGTTGGGTCCCCAAGTCCACATGCAGCTCCACTCCTATGGCGTTCCTGGTCTCAGGTGATGCTTCAGCTCTTGCAGACTGGCATTGCACGCTGGTAGCTCCACAATTCTGTGGTCTCCATGTCGGTCCTGCTCTCACGGCTCCACTAGACATGGCACTGATGGGTTTCTCTGCTGCACCACTAGACAATGTGTTGTCTTCTGAGGGTAGAGTCACACAGGGGCAGGATTGTCACCCTGTGGGGGACCACTCCCACATTGTGAACTCCAGTCCTTACCACTTTCATACCGAACTGGATCCACCTCATTGAGACCTCTGGTTGCTGTACTCCTTCCACTCCAACTTGTAAGTGCTTTTCTTCCTCTTATTTCTGCCTGCCCATATCATGGTGGGTCATTTCAATGCAACCTCCTCCAGTTGCCTGCCTTCTAGAGGCAGTTGCAGATGCCCAACCAAGGCCCACACCAGGATGGATCCAAACTGAGCTGCTGTTCTAAGGCCCCTGGGATGGAGATGAGAGATTGAGGGAAGGGATCAGATAATCAGCTGTCATCTCTACACATTTATGATGTCAACCTTAGCTGGAACCTCATTTTTGCATCCCCCTCAACATCTGTTCCAAACCTTTTGACCTCTCCCCTCAAATCCCCTAGCATCTCTTCATCTTTATTCAGCAGAATGATACTGTTTGCTACTTTATGGACAAAATAGAAAACATCAGGGATGAGCCTTTATTTAGCCATTTCACCTCCTTTCCTCCTGTTTCAGAACTGTCTGTCTTCCTCTTTAGTGTAAGAGTAATCCTGTTTCCCTATGCCCTTGACCCCATCCTCTCTTGTCTATTTTTACTCTACTGATTATTCCCTCTGCTCTAGTCTTCAAGTCTTCCCTTCCTAAACCATACTTCCTCAAAGAGTGGTCAGCACTCCTCTGCTTCCTCAACTTCTATTCTTCGCTCTCGGAGTCTGACCTAGCTTCCTCCCCTCTCTATTGAGGCTGCTCTTGTTGGTCGTCAATTTCCAAATCAGTGGCACGTCATTGACAATTCTGACCACATCCTGCTTCTCAAAAGTCTTTCCTACCTATGTGCCTCTGATACTACTCAGTCTTATACATCTTTCTTCTCTTTCTACCTCCTTTCTTGGCCCTTTGATCCCAAAATGTCAGTGTTCCCAGTGTTTTCTATCTCGGTCCTCAGCTTTTTTCTCTCTGCACACCAGGAAAGCACACACTTCATTACAAAAAGGGGATAGTTTCTCCCAAGCTCTAAACAAGTGCTGCTATGGGAGAATGTTGGCCCACGGTTGCCAAATTCCCCCATTTTTCAAAATCCAAGGTTTTATATGAAACGCCTCAACTTTAAACATCGGTAGCGAATTGAAAATTTTACAGAACTATGCAGGCAAACAAAACATGTATGCTCCTCCTTAGGGCTATTTTCTCTTATTTGACTGTCCATAAAACAGTTTATGAAGTGTTTTATCAGTAATGGTAGCTCACACTTACTGAAGACTTCCTATGTGTCAGCCACTCTTCATGTGGCTTGTGGTTAACCTTCACAACAACTCTTATCAACAAGGTGCTACTGTTATCTCTGCTTTATAGATGAGCCAACCGAGACTGGAGGCTGAACGGTTAAGTATTTTGTCCTAGGTCTCAGAGATTTTGAGCTTAAGGACGAGGATGCAATTGTGACCATCCAGTTCCAGAGCTACACTCTCTGTTTTAACAACTACACTCTCCTGTTTCCCCACTCACGCAAATGAGGAACCCTGAGTCCAGAGAGATTGAGCTTGTCCAAGATCACAGGGGTGCTAAGCAGCCAAGTAGGGATTTGAGCTATTGTTACAAATGTTTGTAAAATGAGTGCCTTGGAGACCCAACGCAGTCCACTCACTTCCATTAATGACTTCATTTACTTCAATCCCTAGGTGAGACAATAGTCAACATTTTATCAGCACTCCCGTGTGACATTTTTCAAGTGCTATGCGGAGCACTTGCTATGCATTATCTCACAAACACTATTATTATCCCCACCTAATGGAAAAAGAAACTGAAGCTCAGAGAAGCTCAGTGACTCGGCCAAGCTGCAGCAACTAGTAAGAGGCAGTGCCAGAGGCAGTGCCAGTATGACGACAGAGCCTCACTTCTGACCACGAGCACACTGTCAGTTTCACAGATGGGGAAACTGAGGCCCGGGACTAGGCACTAGCCGGTGCCTGCGGAATGGCGGCTACTAAAGGGAGCACGGGCTGTACGCCCGCTGTTCTCCCTCTTTGCCCTGGGGGAGCCTCTGTGGTGCTGGAGGCGGAGCGCGACCAGCGGAAGCCCCTCTCCGTAAGCAATGCGGACTGCGCGGGAAGCCGTGTAGTTCGAGACCCAGCACGCTGATCCCGAAACACCACGGCAACAAGTTGGCGGGATCGCCGGAAGTGCGCCACCAGTGGGCGGGGAGAATCTGGAGGCCACCAATGGGAGCGCCGCACTCGCGTTGGCCCCGCCTCGGAGGTGGACCCGAGTCCCCCTTCCGGTCACAGCGGGCTGCTCTGTTTGGGCTGTGCCGGGGTGTTGTGGTGGGTAATTTGGAGCGCGGGGGCGGGAGACTGGCCGGGAAGGAAGAGGAACGTCCGTAAAGGCGAGGAGAAGGATGGAAGAAAGGGTTGGGTGACACAGGCAGTGAGGGTCAGGTCCCGGGGTCGGCACCCCTGTACTGAGAAACTAGCGGCCGGGTCTTGGGACTTCTCCTGTGCTGGTGGGGAAACTGAGGGCCAGAGAAGGGCGGCAGAGGCAAGTAGACTCTGTTCAACACAAACATTTAAAAATCGTAATATTAGGTGTAAAAAATACTTTTAATTGTATTATTAGGTGAAAGAAACAAAATACAAAATTCTATGCAGACTGTAATTAGATCTAGGGGAAGTCCGGCCTTGGCTGACCACCCTCTCAGTTTATCACGCCGCCCTCGGTGCTCCCTACTATTTTGTGCACAGAGCTGATTACTTTGTACAAGTTCACAGACGCTTATGTTAAAGCCCTGAGGCTAGAATTTCTTGGATTTTGGAAAGGTGAGATGGTGCATGCTATGTTACACCCTCGGCGGGGTCCTGAGCAGCGTTTTGTAATCAAGTACGTTACGATTTTCACAGCTAAATATATGCATACTTACACTACGTGAATAAACAACAACCATAAATAGCCTCTCTTTAGGTCAGGACAAGTTTTCAAACTTAAGGAAAAAGTTTTGGTATTCAAACCTTGACAGATTTGAGACTTGCAGGTAAGGGACCTGTATCTTAACGTTATTGGTCACTTGTGTCTCTTGCTGACCTGGACTGGGAGTGCCTTGGGAACAGGAACTGTGCTTTTTTTAAAAATCGCCATTCCTGTGTCCATCCATAACTGTGTCACTTTGTGCCCTTTTAGTGGGGTCAGTAATGTTTTCCCTTTGAGGATTAAATAAGGCCGTTCCCGTGAAGCAAACTCTATGTCTAGCACACGGCACAGATGGTGTGACTGAGATTTACTTATTCCACAGATATTCCTATTTTAAAATTATTTGCGAAAAATAAAATTATTTGCGTAGGTAACACGCGTATGGTTAACTGCCCCCATGCAGTCCTTCTTCATAGAGACAGCTGATGTAATATGCATAAACAAACATGTCTATATTTATGTATCTCTTCCACTCCCACTTTCCCATCCTCTTTTCCCAGATTATATCATTGGATCCTGTTCTATACCTCATTCTTCTCATTAACATTTATTTTGGCTGTTTAACATTTTCAGCTTTTTCTTTCTTTTCTTAATATGGTATGTAATGTACCTATAAAATCGTGTGGAAGTTAAGTTTGGAGAACAAAAATATAATGAACACCCATGTCCCCACCACCAAGTTAAGAAATAGAACATTAGAGCCCCAGAGCCCCTGGGCCCCCATTGCATCCTTTTCTTGTCTCTGCAAAGATAACCACTGCCTTGAATATTGTGTTACTCATTGCCTTGTTTTTCTTTGTACTTTTTACGATCTATTTGTGTATCTCTAATGAATGCAATATATGGTTTTGCTGGGATTTGGATTTTATATAAATGAGATCCTAATGTATATTTTGTGTGACTTGCTTTTTGCACATAATATGTTTTTGAGAAGCATGCATGTTGATGTGAGTAGCTCTACTTCATCTTCACTTCTGTTTTAAATTTCATGGGGGCGATTATAACTGCTTTATGTAGCTGTTGTTCAGGGGATAAGCATTTATACTGTTGCTAGACTTGTGCTCCTAGAAATGTGTTTCCTGGGGTAATGTGGAAGTTTCTGTAAGGTATATACCTAACAGTGGCTTTCTGGGGATATGCAAATTAGCCAGTATATCAAATTTTTATCTGAAATGGTTATAAGAATTTATGCTCTACCCATAGTGGATAAAAGTTACAACCTCAGCCATTCCTCAAAATTTTTGCCTATCTGGTAGTGGGTAAGATATTTCACTGTTGTTTTAATACCCGTATGCCCGATAACATTGACATTAAGCATATTTTAAATGTCTTCATTAACCTTTTGTACATCCTCTTTTTGTAAAATTTTTGTTGCTCATTTTTTTTCTTACAATTGTCTTTCCCATCTTCACATGTAGGAATTCTTTATATGTTGTGATTATGAATCTTTTGCAGCTTATATGTGTTTCAGATACCTTCCAGTTTGTAGCCTCTGGCCCCCCCCCATGTTTTTGGTGAACAAAGGTTCTTAATTTTAACAAAGTCAAATTTATCAGTATAATTCCTTTATGATTTGTATTTTATGTATCTTTTAGGGTCATAAAAACCCTATATTCTCCTATATTGCTGTCTAAAAGTTTTATAGTTTTCACTGTACTGGCCAGCTGCCAAAAAAAAAAAAAAATGTTTTATAGTTTTTTTCTCATGACCTTAACCGTCTAGAATTGATTTTTGTGTATAGTGTGGGGTCATTTTTTTTTTTTTTTAATTAATGGGTTATTAGATGTCTTGGCACCTTTTATGGAAGAGTTTGCTTTGATCTGAAGTTCCATTTCTCTGACATATCCATTTCTCTCGACATAGCCACATATGTGTACCTTTCTGTTTCTGAGTTCTCTGTTTTGTCTCCTTGGTCTTATTTGTCCATCCCTGTATCAGTACCACACTATATTCATTACTCTGGCTTTATAGTAAGTCTTCGTATCAGGCAGGACAAGTCTTTATCTTCTCCAAGAATGTCTTTGCCAATTTGCCTTTATGTTTTCTAATGTAAAGTTGAGAATCATCTTGTCAAATCATGCAGAGTCACACACAAAAAACCAGTTGGGATTTTGGTTGGAATTGCATTGATTCAATTACATTGGAACAATTCGGTTTTTAAAGTGATTGCTTTCAACGTTTCATTTTTTATTTATTTATTTATTTTTTTGTGACCGGTAAGGGGATTGGAACCCTTGGCTTGGTGTCGCCTGCACCGCGCTCAGCCAGTGAGCGCACCAGCCATCCCTATATAGGATCCGAACCTGTGGCCCCGGCGCTCCCAGCACCGCACTCTCCTGAGTGAGCCATGGGTTCGGCCCTCAACGTTTCATCTTTAAGTATTATATTGCTGTTGTTTTTTTGTACATGTCATTTATTAGATAAAACAAGTTTCCTTCTATCCCAAATTTGTTAAGTTTTTTGTATAAATAAATGTTGAATTTTATTAACTGTGTTTTCTGCATCTATTAAGATGATCATGTGCTTTTTCCTTTATTCTGTTAACGTGGTGATTCATATTGTATGATTTCCAAATGTTAAATCTGCTGGAATAAACTCAACTGAATGACAACATAATATTCTTTTTACATTGCTGGATTTGGTTTGTTAACATTTTGCTTAGGACTATTGCAGCTATGTTCAGGAAAGATAATGGCCTGTGATTTTTCTATCCTTTGAAGTCCTTGTTAGGTTTCAGAGCCCAAGTTATGTTAGCCTAATCAGATAAGTTAGGGAGGGATTGCTCTTTTTCAGGCTTTGGAAGAGTTCATGTAACATTTGAATTTATTTGTTTCTAGAATGTTTGGGTAGGACTTCTTGATAAATTCATCGAGACCTGAAGTTTTCTTTGTGAGAAGATGGATTCCCTATAAAATGTCATTAATGGTTATAGTACTGTTTAGGTTTCCAAATAATTCTGTCATCAGTTTTGGATGAATTTCCTATGACTTTGTACATATTTAAAACTTCAGATTAATTGTTATAAATTGTGTATGATATCTTTAAAAAATATTTGTGCCATCTGCAATTAATTTTCATTTTTCATTCCAAATACTGTTTATTTGTAAGTTTTCTCGTCTTTTGGAAAATCTTGTCAGAGGTTTTTCACTTTTACTAAGTTTTTTCAAAGAATAATGTTGGTTTTGTTGATCTCCTTAGATATATGCTTATTTTCTATTTTATTAGTGTCTGCTCTCTGTTATTTTCTTCCTTTAACTTTCTTTGGGTTTAACTTGCTGTTCTTTTTATAGTTTTTTTAGATGAATGCCTAACTCATTAATTTGCTGCACCCCCTTTTTACAAAAATGTAAGCATTTAAGGCTATTAATTTTCCTCTACTGCTTTATTTGCTTCCTACCAGTTTTTATGTGTAATGTTTTATTGTTTAGTTCAAAATATTTTCTAATTTCTATTAATAATTCCTCTTTAATGATAGATTATTTAGAAGTATGTTTCTTAAATTCTAAGCAAATGGAATTTTCTAGTTATCTTTTTCTTACTGGTTTCCAGATTTATTGCATTATAGTCAGAGAACGTGGTCTGTACGAGACCCATCCTTTAAATTTTGCTAAGACTTGCTTTCTGGCCATTATTTGGCAATTTGCATAATTATTCTTGGTATGCTCGAAGGTTCTGTATTGTTCAGCTGTTGGGTACTGTGTTTTATGCACGTCCATCAGATTAAGCTTTTTACTTGTGTTGTACACGTCATTTTTTTTTTTTTTCCTTTTTGTCTTTTTTACTGACCGGCAATGGGATCGCAACCCTCGGTGTTGCGCCCGCACCGTGCTCAGCCAGTGAGCGGGAACCGGTCTCCACATGGGATCCGAACCCTCGGTGGGAGCGCCGCCGCACTCCCAAGCGGCGCACTCTCCAGTGCGCCACCGGGCCGGCCCTTGTACACGTCATTTTTAAACTTACAGATTTTTGTTCACTTCATCAATTAATGAGAGGGGTGTGTTAAAATTTCCTACTGTGGTTGTGAATTTGTATGTTTATCTTTGTATTTCTGACAATTTTGCCTTAACTACTTTGAGGTTCTATTAATAGGTGCTTGCACATTTTAAATTGTTAGATCTTCTTGGGAATTAAACCTTTTTATAATGTTGTGATGACCCTCTTTATCTCTAGTAGTCCTTTTTGCCTTAAAGCCTATTTTGTCTCATATTAATAAAGTTACGCCAGCTCTCTTTTTGTTAGTTTGCAGAATATATCTTTTTATACACTTTTACATTTTTGGAGTTCTTATGTTTTAGGAGTAACTCATAATGTATAGCTAGATTTTATTCATTATCATTTGACAAATTTTAAAATCTGATCTAACAGTGCTTGTCTTCAAATTGGAACATTCAGTCTATTTCCATTAATCATTATTACTAAACTAAGGGTTGATTTCTTCTAATTTACTCTTTATGATTGTTCTGCCTATTCTCTGTTTTTTTCCTTCTCTCCTTTGGTTCCTTCTTTAGGGTTAAGTGATTATTTTTCCTCATTACATTTTTTTTAAAACTAATTTGGAAATTATATACTGTATTTTTGTTTTTCTAATGTGGTTACTCTAGAAATTGTAAAGTGCAAGTGTAAAATTTATTAATGTCCAATTCTCCTCCCAACCATCATAAGGATGTTAGAACACTAATTTCAGTGGTCACTTGCCTCCCAATTTATATGCTATTATTTTTGTGTGTTTTAATTTTTAAAAAATCTCAAAAATACTCTTTATACTGTTTTATACAGTCATAAAATGACTTGAATTTACCCACATATTTACCAGTTTCTTTGCTCTTTATTCTGTCCTGCATTTTAAACCTTCCAACTGGTATCACTTTTTTTCTTCCTGAAGTATATGCTTTGGAATTTCCTTTCATGAGGGTCTGCCTGTCACTTACTCTTTTCAGTTTTTTGTTGTTTGGAAATGTTTATATTTCACCCTCAGTCTTTAGCTGAGTGTAGAGTTCTCAGTTGAGAGACATACCCTGCCAGCGTGTGGAAGAGTTTTTCTCACTGTAACTGAATTCTCTTGTTGCTTTTGTGAGTCAGCTGTCAGTCTAATTGTTGCTCTTTTGAAGGTATTCTGACCTTTTGTTTGGTTGCTTTTTTTTTTTGTCTTTTTTTCTTTTTCGTGTCCAGCAACGGATCGCAACCCTCAGTGTCGCGCCCGTACCGGACCGGGACCAGCAACGGGATCGCAACCTTCAGTGCTGCACCCGCACCTCGCTCAGCCAGTGAGCGGGAACCGGTCTGTATGTGGAACCCTCGGCGGGAGCGCAGTCACGCTCTCAAGCGGCGCACTGTAGCAGTGCACCACTGGGCCGGCCCCTTGTTTGGTTGCTTTTAACCTTTGATATTTTGTACTTTTACTATGATGTGCCTAGGTAGGTATTTTTAGATTTATCCTGCTTGAGATTTGATGGGAATCATGATGGCTGTGATCTTTGTCATTTGTCCTTACTGGCAAGCCTTGGTGGTACTCTTGTCCGCTTTTTCTGGATCTGTTCGGTAGACTGCTTACTAGACTCTTTGCCTCCCATTTCTTTCCTTCTCTAGTTCACCTACACAGTGCCAAAGGAGGTATCTTTCTAAAGATATCATCTTCTTGCTATACCATCTTCTTGCTTCGAGACCCTTAGTTTGTAGAGCCTTAGTCTCTAAAGTTTCCAGGATGAAAGTCCAAATTCCTTAGCCCAGCATATTCTGTCTCTATGCCCGGAACAACCACAGGCAAATAAGGGGGTGCTCAGTACATAAAAGTGGAATGAGTGAATGAAGGTACCCAACCCTAGTGATAGGAAATAAACTTGGTGACTGTGTGGATGTGAGATTTAGGGAGAAGAGGACCAGAGTTGGAGGTACAGGTGTGTGGTTAATTTGACTGTGTGGACTGCACCATCCAAACCAGATGATTTACAAAGAGGAAGACTCATGATGACAAGGGCTGAGGACGGTGGAAAGAGAGGATGAGTCTGACTTAGGATTTGTTGAGGTGGAGGTGCTGGTGAGATCTTCTTGAGGTTGTCTGTAGCAGGCAGTCAGAGAAACTGGTCATGAGATAGTGCATCTTCCTAGCTCTGAGGTCCAGTTGATGATGCTGTTAAAAAAGAACATTAACTAGCACTTCTGTGTGTCTCTCAAGTGTTAAGGTCTTGGCAGGCCTTTGGTAGTCATATCTCATTTAAACTTCATTTTATGCCATTAAGATAGTTATGATGAAAAGAGTGAGCCTTAGGGAAATTGAGCATGTTAGCTAAAAATGTTTCCGTGTTATATCTGCCTAAGATAAAAGCAAATTTCTTGTCAGATCGTGGCAGCACCCCAGAATTCTAGGCACCGCTGCAGTCAGAACCTTCAGGAAAGGAGCCAGGAATTTGTATTTTTAGTACTCAGTTTAGGTGATCCTTAAGATCAGGCAGTTCTGGCAAACACTGGTCTTGGTGCCATGTCTAGTTCCAGATCTACACTCTTTGGCCCTGTGCTGGGGTGATGCTTCTCTGTGGCAGGAGCAGGTTTTGATCAAGGCTTGTGTAATACTTTTATCAGTTCTGACCTTTGCGGTTTGTGAAAAGATTCTGTTTTATTAGAGAGCAGGAGATTTTTAAAATAGTTGCAGTCCTACTGTGACAGTTGTCTTATTAGAGGTTTGGGAGAGGAGAAGGAAACTAACATTTATTGTTTACTAGCAATTCTCTAATCAGTGAACATTATTATAATTTTATAGTGAGAAAATGGGGCTGCAGCTAAATTTCTAAATCTGCTAAGTGGCTGAGCCAAGGGTAAGGCCTAGAATTGTGTAATAGTAAAAATAGCTCACACTTCTTTAGTGCTTACTGTGTTACCAGGCTGTTACATATATTAACTCATTTAATTCTTGTAGCAGTTCTATGGAAGACGTTTCTGTTGTTATTCCCACTTTGCAGACCAGAAACTGAAGCGCATGGAGACTAAGTTGCCCAGTTTCACACACCCAATGAGTGGTGGAGCCAGGCTGTGAACCCAGGCATTCTGGCTCCAGAATCCACACTTCTCACCACTGCCCTGTACTAATTTTTTTGCCTAGCCTGTGACTCTTGTTCTTTCCTCTCTTGTAGTCATCAGCATGAGGAACTTAATTTTTAAAATGATAACACATTTATATTTGTTAATGTAAATTAGCACATGACCTAGGATGTTGCTTTTGGCGTGCTTGGAGATGACTAGATCTCACTGGCTTCTTTTTCAGTTCCTTCATACATGCAGGGCAGTGCGAGAAGAATGGGCATCATGACTGATGTCCACCGGCGATTCCTCCAGTTGCTGATGACTCATGGCGTGCTGGAGGAGCGGGATGTTAAGCGCCTGCAGAAGCACTGCTATGAGGTCCATGACCGTAAGTGTCGTTTCCCTGTTCCCAGGATGCTCTGGCACTGTGTTGATCAGGGACTGGTGATATTGGTATAATACCGTGTGACAAGTTAACAGGTATTCTTGAGCATTCAGATCTCTTTACAGTCTTACACCAGCCCATCTTTCTATTCTCACCTTCTGCTTTTTTTTTTCTTTTCCCAAGTGAATCAGACATTTAGCCCAGTGGATAAAGACTTGGACGCTGAAGCTCGATAGTCATGGTTCTCACCAAGTCTCCAATACCACCCCCATCCTCAATTTCCTTATTTCTAAATGGAATAGTGGTTGTACTTAACACATAGGGTGGTTGAGAGAATTAAGAGACATTATGATACATACAAAATACCTGGCACAGGGAATGTGCTCAGTTGGCTATTGACAGTAACAGAGTATCAGGGCAGCTTAGCACAGTGGTTAAGGGCACAAACTTGGAGAGACTGCCATCCCTGCTAAGTGCCAGCTGTAGGCGATTGGAGCATCTTCTCAGGGGGGTAACTGGGAGGAGTTAATAAGGTAATATGTGTGAAGCACTTGGAGACAGGGCTCCGTGCGTGCTCAGTTCTCAGTAACTAAGCTAGCAGTGGAAGCAAGAGGATCAGTGTTGCCAGATCACTAGAATCAATATTGGTAGATCATGTTGAGTGTCAGTATGGGTAGGTCTTGTTGACTAGATCTTACTGAGTGAAAAGTTGGTAAGTTATACTTCTTGTATGATTTCATTGTGTTAAGATTTTGTAAAGTACAAAATGCTTTCCATTGCTTATGAATACGTCTGCTTGTAAAAGTATAAAAGTGGATGGGGAGGATATGCAGCACCCTTGGGAGGTCTTTGTCTTTGGGGAGGGGGCAGTAGGTTGTCAGTAGAAATCAAAGGACACCGCATTTTTGTCCTGTTGTGTTCTTTTATTAAAAAGAAGACTTGAAGCAAACATGATGTTATTAGCATAATCTAATGATTGCACTTCTGATTCATGGGAATGTAGGTGTTTGGTTTCTAGTCTGCATTTTTGTCTATCTCTCTGTATTTTTCCTTTTCAAAAGAAAAATGGGAAAAATAACGTAAGAGGGAGCCGAGCCAAGAGGAGTGGGGAGGGGCATGGGGGTGGGGGCACAAAGTGCACGAGTGAAGGAACCCAAGAAAAGGTGCCACATTTAGAGAGCTGCTGTTTCTGCAGGTCCCAGGGGCTGAGGGGTGAAAGGGGATAAGAAGGAGAGACAGTGTGTATCAGAACAAATAATCTGTCAAGATGTGCAGAAGAAGGAAGGATGAAAGAAGATGGCATGCTAGAGAAGAGGCAGAGCTTGAAGTGGCTGCAACTTAAGGTTCTACAGGGCAGTGGTCCACTGAGGCATTCCATGGGGAATTCTGGGAGCTTGACGTGACACAGGAATAAGTTAGAGGCTTGGAAGGGTCCTCCCTAAAGAAACCTGTTTAATTATGTTTAACCCTATGTATCCAAACTTGGTTGACCTTTTAATAACATAACTTGGGAAACCCCCTTAACGAGAACGTGTGATGTGTGGGAAGAGAGTAAGTGTTTTGGTGTGTTGGTTTACAGATCATGAAGAACCCAGTACACCAAAGTGATGGTTTTTTATGTAATCCTGTGGACAGTGCAGACCTCTTGAAGTATTTGAGGCAGGAGAGTAACACAATTAGTGCTGTGTTTGAGAACTATCCTCCTGATAAAAGTATATCTGATGTAACTGCCTGAGCTGTACTGGATAGGAATCTTTGGTGGGGGACTCCTTTATGGAAAGGGAATATTACATCTGTCAAGCTAGCTTTACTTGTTCTTTAAAAAGCACAACAGGACTTTAAATCCTCCCCATAATATCCTCCAGAGATGAGCATAAGAGTGCTTGTCTTCATCTTGTATCTACCTGACAATTCATTCCTTCTCTCTTTTAGTCTCTCAAATAAGTCCTGAATGTGAGCGTCAGTGTTGATGGGGAAGTTTCTTAGCTCATTGCAAAGGGCCATATGATACCTTAGTACTAAGAATGAAACTATTTTTGCCTTTGTTTGACCTTTAAAATTGTTATGACCTAATTCAGGAAAGTCCTCTAGAATGTGTCTAGGAATTAATGTTCCATTTCTTTGCACCTAGATATGATTCTGGCTAGGGTGAACTGGGTATGGCTATAGCCTGTATTCTCCTATCCTTCATTTAAAAAACTAACAAAATAAAACTTGTTCCCGAGCATTCTTATTAGAGAGATTTTCAAACAAGGAATGATAGAAAGAAATGATCTAAAATTAAGTAAATACTAACAAAACCCAGTATTATTAATCTCCTGTCTTATGAAGAGATGCCCAGGAAAGTCCCCTTGTACCAAATGGCAAAATATTTAGCTTCTAAGAAATTTGCAAACAAAGGAGTAATTGAAACTGTAAGTTATTCTAATTGCCATTTCCCGGGGTGTTTGTGCAGTTTATCAAAGCACCACTTATTCTGGACTTTTGTTCTCGCGCTCTTCTTTACCATTGTTAGGGGGAAACAAGTTCCCCAGTTCTCCTGGCTAGTATTTAGATTTTGTTCTGAAGACTCAGAGCAAAGCCTTGGGTCTAGACTTTCATATAGCTCTGGGGACCTGAATTTTTAGAGAGCCTTAGATTTTGAGCCAGGGCTTGGGTCCGTGCTTGTGTTCATTTATCTAGCAAAGCTTCCTGAGAATCTCTTGTGAGCCAGGCCTCTGTGCTGGGGGCTGGTGACACACAGTGTTTGTCTCACCTTGGCTTTCATGAGTCACACAGACAAGGAGTCAGATGACTCCAGCATAAGCCTTCTTGATGGAAGTAGGCACGGGAGGCCTAGGGAGGGTGTTTCAGAAGACTTGGGTTTGAGGATTTCCACTTTTGGCCAAGATGGAGTAACAGGGACCAATACACCATCCTGCCTGAAACAATCCAAAAATGGACAAAATATCTGAAACACTGGATATTAGTCAGTGAAGGACAGTGATCTCTTGAGAGGCAGGCAATGAGGTTTTTTTTTTTCTTTTTTTAAACTCTTGATGCAAAATACATAGTATCTTCCAATACCACTTCTCCAGTTCTCCAGACACCGACTGGGTGTCCAAAAATTGAATTCAATTCTGACACTGTCTCCCTTGAATTAGCAGTAGATCCCATTTCTATCGGTCCCACAAGACTGATCCCCACTTCAGATGCCAGTTGCAAATCCCAGGCCACCTGTACTTCTGACTGACTAGCTATAATTGAGGGGTTCCCACAACCCTCTCCTCAGGTTTCATAATTTGCTGGAACGACTCACAGGATTCAGGAGAACACTTCACTTATGTTTACTGATTTATTATAAAGGATACAACCCAGCAACAGCCATGTAGAAGAGATGCTTAGGGCAAGGTATGGAAGGTGGGAGTTGCACGGAGCTTCCAAGCCCTCTCCAGGCACTCTTCCCTTCCAGCACCCCCGTGTTTCCAACAACCTGGAAGCCCTCTGAATCCTATTGTCTAGGGGTTTTCATGGAGGTTTCATTACATAAACCTAATTGATCAGTCATGGCCACTGGTGATTAAGTCGATCTCTATTCCCTCTCTTCTCCCCAGAGGTTGGGGAGTGAAAGTTCCAAGCTTCTAATAGAGGCTTAGTCTTTCTGGTGACCAGCCCTGATGCTCAAGCTATCTAGGGTCCTGCTAAGAGTTGCCTCACTAGAACAAAAGATGCTCCTATCACCCATATTAATCACTTGTAAAGGCAATTCAATAAAAATAGTCATTCCCACAAATGGTGCTGGAATAATTGGGTATCCATATTCAAAAAATGAACCTTGAGCCACACTTTGCACCATACACAAAAATTAACTCAAAACTAATGATAGACCTAAATATGAAACCTAAAACTATAAAACTTACAAAAGAAAACATAGGAGAAAATCTTTATGACCTAGGGTTAGGCAAAGATTTCTTGTATCTAACATCAAAGTTTGATCCATACAAGAACAAGTGGATAAATTGGACTTCAAAGTTAAAAACTTATACTCTTTAAAATGTACTGTTTAGAGAATGGAAAGACAAGCAAAATTCCAGGAGAAAATATTTGCAAATCATTTATTTGATAAATGATTTGTATCTAGAATACAATAGAGAACTGTCAATGCTCAAGAATAAGAAAACATACAACCCAATAAAAAATGGGCAAAAGATCTGAACAGACATTTCAGATAAGTTATATGAGTGGCAGATAAGCACATGAAGAGATATCCAACATCATTAGATGTTAGGGAAATGCAAACTAGAACCACAGTGAGGTACCACTGCATACATATTAGAATGTCTAAAATTGAAAAGACTGTACATGCTAAACATTGATGAGAACATGGAGGAGCTGGAACACTCATGACTGTTGGGAGTGTAAAATGGTGTAGGCATTTAGGAAAACACTGGCAGTTTCATATGATACATGTCAAGAGACATGAAGATACTAGAGTAGTTCAAAAAGTTTATGGAAAGATTCATATTTTCTTTTAATTCTGTTTTTCCATGAACTTTTTGAAATAACCTCATATGTGTCCACACAAAGGCATGCACAGAAATATTCAGAATAGCTTTACTTGTAATGGCCCCAAATGGTAAACACCTAATTGTCCATCTAGAGGTGAAGGGATAAATGGGCTGTGGTATATCCATGTAATGGAATATTACTTAGAAGTAAAAAAGGAATAAACTATTGCTACATGCCAGAATATGAATGAATCTCGGAATGATTATACTGAGGGGAAGAACCCAGGCAAAAGAGAGTATATGTTATATGAATCCATGTAAAATTCTGGATAATTCGTACTTGGTTATAGTGACAGAAAGTAGTTCAGAGGTTGCCTGGGGGTGGTGTAGGGAAGGGTGGGAGAGGAATAACAAAGAGGCAAGAGGAAACTTTTGGGGGTGATGGACATGTTTATTATCTTGATTGCAGTGATGATTTCATGGGTATATATGTCAAAACTTACTAATATTTGTACA